ATTCAGTGATACAGCTCAATATTCGGCTTGCAATGGTTATTCAGCAACAGTAAAATATTGAGGCAAACTTTCATTTTGCCACCATTCTCAGTTTCTCAGTCTACTGAATAAGTTGTTTAGTAAAGTCATTTTTAACATTTTTGAAAATGAAAAAAAAACAACAACAACAACAAGACAAAAAAAAATGGCCATGAATAAATATTTCCCTCACACTTCCCTGAAGCCTGAGGCAGTGGCTTCGAATTGCTTTCTCTTTCTGAGTCGGTCTATTAATGCACAAGACAAATATACTGCCACTTTTGCTTAAAGTTAAGCTATTATTATAGTTATAGCAGAGGATCAATTCTAGTTTTATATGTATCACAGTTCATACCCTTTTATGATCTTACAAATGGGAGAAATGTAGGTGATACTTTTGGTTTAAAATTTTAATAAACACATTGTCAAACTGGTTTTTAATCATCTGCAGAATAAAATAAATAAATTTAATTTCAAGATGAAATTAAAATGTTTGTACAGGCTCCCTCATAAATTTTAAAGTTCAATTTAAAGTTTTAGGTAATAGCTTTCAGAGCTCATCATGGTCAGATGGTTTCCTATTTTTTTTTTTACTTTTAAATCTGTACGTAATTACAGTGTCTCTGAGGTGAACTGATTAATGCTGTTCATAGAACCTCAGACCAGGTTAGAGACGGAGGGAAATTGTGCTTTTGAGATTGTAGCTCAAAAGCTATAAAACTTCCATTGGACTTAAGATCTGTACTGATCACCCAGTCCCAGGGTTAACATTTGAAACTGAACAAAAAAAAAGTTACACTGGACAATTTACTAGAATGGGAGAAAAAAAGAACGCAGGTAAAGACCAACACACTCTTAAACCCACACACAAACACATCTAAACGACTGTGGGTCAACAGCTACATCCTGACAGACTCTCACAGTTCAGTGGATGTGAACAAAGCGCGAGGTCTGCAGAGGCTTTAAACTGAGGGGCTGTGTTTAGTTGGTGCTGCCATGGGCGACGAACACGAATCTAAATGTCCTGAGCACCAACTGGTCCTCTGCCAGTAACCTACTGGCCCTGCCCTTGTTACAGTGTCCAAAACCTGTTAAAACTTCACTCAAAAAATTCATGTCTTTGCACTTCAACTATAAACTTTTGGACAGATAAACCTTTAGCTTTTATGTAGCATACAAAAACATGAGTTGCTTTTAAACACAGAAAATAGGTATGTTAAGGTTAGCCAACTAATGCTTCAGCTAACTGTTTAACAACAGACACAAATTGATATTTTACATGTAGCTACATGCTTTTCCCCCTTTGTTTTTTTTTTTACAATTTTTCGACTGAGCCCTTTTCCCCCCTCTCCGATGAAAGACACTAATCTCTATTTGCATTGTAAACCTCGGCTCACACAGCTTTTGTCAGCTGAGCTGAAGCCCATTCTGGTCAATAATATAAGATATCTGCTCTAATCATGCAGCTCATTTTAACAAGATTGTTCCACCACAGGTAGTCCTGTCTCTACAGCTGGCTTGTGAGCCACAACCTGAGGCTTAGCCTTACCCACTTATACCAGTTGCTGCATGCCTACACTTGATTACATTAAAGCATGGCTGTAACTTAAGTCTTAAGAGGTTTAGGGACCCATTTAATTTCATTATCGTCATTGTTATGGCCTTCAGCTGAGCATCAGAGACAACAAGTCTTTACAGGGGAAATGAGGAGGTACATTTCAAGGTGAGATGTGGCATGGCTTTTTATTTTGCAAGCTCCTCCACTTTATGTTATTAAGTGGTTAATGCACAAGCTAAGCTCTTACTGCAGATATAAACAAAGTCAAAGATACTTCTCTCTCACTTTGATCCCCAGTGCTAAGCTGTCAGCACATTAAAAACAATGATTCTGCTACATACACTAATAACAACCACAGCAGGCAGGTTCAGCAAGTCCTCACTGCAAGCCTTTCGGCCCCTCCCATCAATGCACACCTACCATTTAAAACAGACTGTTATGACATAATGGGCTGTTCAAATAAACCAGGTACAGTACAATTAATATAATGTAGTCAGGGAGGGATACGACTGTGCAACCGTTTCACAATACACCCTCTACTGCCACCATTTTTCTGCACGAGTAAACACTGACAAGCAAATGTTCTCGGCTTTGAGTTCCTTTGTAGAAGTCTGACAGAGCAAGATGGCCTTTTTTATATAAACAAAGTTTTGGCCTTAAACTGTTAAATTACCTTAAGAAGTCCTTTTAGTCCTTAAAACCAACCCTGTATAAAACAGAACCATGAAATCTGTTGGTCTGCAAGATGAGTTCAGCTATTTTTCCATGATGTCTACATATGAGGCGTTTTTGTTGACACACACCTAACCAAATATCCATAGGCTTGTTGGGTTTAGCAGAGAGAAACAACAAAAACGAAACCGTCATGCCCAATTTGAAGCATCTATGCACATGCACATGTCAATAGAAAACCCATTACAGATGAAAACTGATCTTCAGTAAAACTCTGTGGTAACAGAATTACATTTAGAGGCATCATTATGAGAAAGCTCAATTATGCTTTTCAGGGTACATTTACCAAATAACCAGTCTCACATATGGCAAACTGAAGTACAGTTTACTAAGATCAGAGCTGTAATTTTAGCTGGTGGAACCACAACACAAAACATTCACCTCTTCCTAAGTGAATGGTTGTCTACACTTTCACTGCAATTTGCATGCTCCTATAGCGACTCTCTCTGACAATGCAAATCATTTTAAAAATACACTTGCATCCAATTTGGACAGGCGTGCGTTTTACTTTCATATGAAACTGGCATATCATAATTCTGCTACCTTACACTCATGTATGAGGTGTGAATCAATATGAATTATTACATTAGACAGGTGATTTTTTGTAATCAGATACGTTGACTTCATGTGTACGCTAATAGGAGAAAGGGTTTTCTATTCTATGTAGACCCCCTCCATTTCATCTTGTGGGGTAATTTATTGTCATCATCAAAGTAGATTATGGTTCGGATAACAATTTGGCAAAAAAAAACAGTCGCTACTTTATGATTTGTGATGGTGATAATTAACTGAAAGAGTGTAGGGTGAACAGAAGTTAACCAACTTGCAGAGAAGAATATTAAACACTCTTAAGAGGTAAAATAGTGTTCAGCGGAAAAAAGCTAATCAGATTTAAAAGAAATGCATTATTAAAATTGATTAATGATGACCATTACCTCCACTGACCTTTGACCTAACTGACGCGCACACAACTGACACCACAGTTCGTTCATTCCTAGATGCATATTTCCGGACTTTTGATTTCTTCAGGACTGTTTGGATATTGCATCACACAGTCTCACAACGTATCACTGTATAACCCTACCGTCATTATAGTGGTAGCATTATAGGAGCTGCTCCATTCCTAACCTTACATCCCTGTAAACATCAAAGGTAATCAAAACATTTCTAAAACTCTTAACAAAAACCCAAAGTGCCTGCAGCAAAACAACACTACAAATCACACCACAGAATCGAGACAAACAGCAAAACTTTACAGTAAGGCAGCGCAGGGCCGTTATATTACTTAGTGCAACCAACTGTGCAGCCCCAGAGGGACAAACAGGAAAGCCCCAGCAGAGTAGACTCCAGGTGGGGAGAGACAACTGACCGCATTACAGGCTCCACAGGGGAGAAGTGGCACTCGATCCCCTTAGACTGGGACGGCGACATGCTGCTTGTTCTGGGAACTGTTTTGTAATTAACTGGGCAGGTCCAGGCAGTTGCCCGTTTTGCTTTCATCCTTCCATTAAAACCACTAAATGTCTTTCTTTGCAAAGGCAAATTTTTCAGGGAGTTATTTGGCAACAAATAACAGGCGGTACAAAACAGAACATCTCCAGAATAACTAGTTTCTGTTGGAAAATGTCCCACCATAAAAACTGTGTTCGAAACCAACACTTGAGACCAATTCAACCCCTGTTTTACATGCAGTAGCAACAGCATAAAATAAATTATTCCCCTCATAAATGGGATACTGGGGAATGGTATCCGGAAGCTCATCACAAATAATGACGAGGCACTTGTGTCTTTAAGGTTGAACAAGGAACACAGGCGAGCAGCTGAATATGAGGATACCAAAAAAAAAGAAAACACAGATATGAGAAACTATACTGCCATTATGAGTCATTTTTATAATTACTATGGATACGGACAGACTGGAGGGGAGAGAAAGAGATTGGTTTCCCCATTATGTCACTGCCACTTCACCATCTGGGTGTGAGCGGCCTTCTTCAGCATGAATACAGCCGCCCACATCAAGTGCATGAAATTAGAGGTGAAGCAGCCTGTCCGTTTGGTGAATTGATTGGAACAGTACTGAATCGCTGAGAGCCGTGACTGAGCTGTCCACTGAATGTCTACAAACAAAGAGCAGACTTGACAGCATTATAGGCCCACTGCCCTTTTCCTTGGAACCTGACTGTCAGTGAAGCTCTTCTTTCATCGATCCACTGTCTCTGCAGGAGGCTTTGATGAGACGCCAGACCGTTGGACGAAGACAGGCCGACTGGCTCTCTCCCACCTTCTCCATCTGTTTCCTTTTCTATGATAGAGAGAGCCGCTGCAAAAAGATATCGTCACTCCTCCCAGCATGCACGCTACAGAGGATGGCCCGTGAATGTGTGCGCGCGTGCGCGTACCTGTGCAATGGGCGTGATGCTCTATGTTTGTGAGGCCCCAACACAAAACCTGCTCATTCAAACTGAGGTGAGAAACAATTGCGCCGCAAACATGTCCTGAAAGCCGGTAACAGCAACGTCACGACGCGGAATATTTTCCAGGTCAAAGAGTGTTTGGCGAACACAAGATGATGCTGATGACCTGCAGGTGTTTGCGAGGCCCGCTGCACTGACTGACAGGTGGCACCGGGCAATTAATGTTGCTACGCATTTGGGAGTTAATGGAAACATTTAAATAGTCTTTAGCGCCTTACCTCAATGCCACACGGACAGAGCTTTCATCCTGTCCCGTTGTCATGATTCCTTATGCAACAGCAGGTAGAAGAAAAAATAATAATAGTGCGGATTTATCTGCGTTGGCTACTAGCCCCGGCACAAAAAAAAGGAGTGCGCACTATACTCCCGCTGGCGAGCGGATCACCTCGACTTCAGCGCCGCCATTAAAAAAATAAAATAAAACCCACAACAACCTATCTTAACGGTGTTTAAACCATGATATCGGGGAAGAGCCGCGGTGGTGTGCCCGCGTGCTGCGTCTACGTACGCTGCATCTCTGCGCAACTTGGCCCTGATGCTCCGACTCGAGCCCGTCTGCACACTGCCACTCCGGCTGCTGGTGAGCCAATGGCGCGCGCGTACGCGTTCATTGGTTCAAACACACTCGCACATGTGCGCGCGCCCCTCCGTGCCTCGCCGTTCCTCTCTCCGCTCCGTTTAGACACTGGGAGGGATCCGCAGTGCGTCAGCAAGCCACGCCCTCTCCGGGGAGTGAGGCGATAGTAAGAATCACTGTATTATTTTTCCCCCCAGTATATTGGAGGAGTACCAAAATCTGCATTTCCACATTAATAAAAAGCGCTCGTGACACAGTCCAGAATGAATCTGTAGCCAAAAATGTACATTTTCCAGACAGTTATCATCGTTTTATGATAGAAAATGTTGGGACAATATTAATTTAATTTTAAAACATTTTTTTTCTGTGCGTCTTAGAGAAATCACAGCACCATGAACCGCTTTACAGCATCAACCATTTGGCTTTCAGGCATGAAGTCATGTCAGCAACGGCAGAGAATCTACCAGCAGCCTTCTGATAGCAGTAACCTTGGACTACCACAAGCTTCTTTTACACAAATGAAAGTTTCGATAGCTTAGCAGGTAGATAGTTGGACTTTCATGTGACTACAAAAGATGGGCAAACACGAGTCTCTATAAGAAATCCTAAATGACATCAGTACATATTTCGAATTCAATTTAATACCATATCAAAACGTTTGTTTTAAGCAATTTTACAACATCATTTAAATTGCCAAATAAATAAATGGCAATATTCTATTGTTTATTATTTAATATACTCTGTAATCATCCCATTAAAAAAAAGCAATCATTTAGTTTACAGATAACAAATATATGAATCCATGTTCCCAGTAGCAATAAATAAAAAAAGTCACTAAAATTGCACTGGCAGATAATCTATTTTTAAGCTCACATATAAAATAAAGGGTTTTTTGTTGTTTTTCTTTTGCTCCCTGCTAACGTTCATCGCGACTATTTATTCTCTTTAGTTGTTTTTTACTGCCATCTTGTGGATTGGATAATCACAGTGCCACACGAAGGAACTGTAGGGGCCAACACTGCATTTATGTTTCTTAGAAAGAGTGGAACACATCTGGTCACAATGGAAATCAAATCCTACGACTGCACAGAAATAACTGACCTGATGTGTAATTTGCACCCCTTCTTTAATTTAAACATAACCTGACGTCTACAGAGCCAAAACTGTGACTCAGCAAACCTTAAGACCAGGTCAGGATTCGATATCCCGTGGCTGCATTGTTAGATTTTGGATCATATGCAAGTCTTTTTTTTCATACATTTTTATTTTTTCTACAGTGTCAGATTGTTTACAAAAACTCATCCTAATGAATTTAATGCCACCTTCCCACCCCACAAACACCTGTAAAAGTATTATATAGTTACTCTATTACATATTTTATATTTATATATTTACAAGTTCTTTAATTGAAATAAACTTCCCATCTTATCTACAACATGTTCTAGTTTTTATCCCTTTCTCATGCCATAACGAAAAATTGTCTTTACACGACCAAAATCTGGATTGTTCCAAATGTTTTAGTTTACCTGGGATAAGTGAAGACTTTTAACACAACCAATTAAATACAAAACATCCTGAATGTTCATCACCTGGTTTGCCACAAAACAGAAATGACCCAGTGACTACTGATTTTTTCCATCAACTCAACATTTACCAGCAGTTTCAAGATCAGGGTCTCCTTGTGACCAAAAACACCAAAACACCATCCCAACTTTGCATTAAGTATTTCACCTAAAAATGGGCTAGAAATCAACCACTGTAATTATGTTAAAAATCATATGTGATTCTCCTTTGCCAACATTAAAGTGGCCTGAGATTTAAAGCAGGAGTGCACACACACTTTAAGACTGTGGGTGCCGGTTTAGTTCACTGGGATGAGCAGGGGACCATATGACATAATGCAACGTGTACACTAATGTCAAATGGACTCTGAACAGTGCAAAGATCACTCACAACAGTAATAAAAACTATAAACTATATAAAACCGTACAAGAAACACAAAAAAAGACCAAAGCTGCCTTTCCCCACTCTCCCAAATTACACAGAGCACATTCATGTGGATGTGGACAGTCAGAAGGATCTTTTATATTATTAGCTTTAACTATGTAGGTCCTCTAGAGTGGGTAGGGGGCATCCCATGGTTTTCTGGGCCACCCTCGGGAGCGCCTTGTTTTGTGCCACTGTACAAGAGGAAAAACCACACACAGAAGTAATATATTAAAATACTCTGTGGAGCAGCAGTAGGACACCAACAGCCTCTGGGAGATGTTCTTCCTCAGGATCTTTGGGAAAGTCTCTGTTATTCTTTGTTTCAGTGTTGTGAGCACTTCAACAATTTTTCATGCCGTCTTAGACTCTTAGAAATGATGTCATGTTACCATCTTCAATTACATTTGAGCAACACTCAAATGACCTTTTCACACAAAAACTGACTGACTTCACAGATCAGGCTCTTTTGACAAGTTTATTTATCAAATATGACATTGGTGAAAAGAAAACAAAACACACATATATTGTAACTTTGCAAACAGTTAACTTTTCATATACAAAATGCTGATCCATTTATCCATAAAATTCATTTATGGCCTTTTAACCTGAAATGCTTTCCCCTCGAAGCTGTCAAGACAATCAGCTCTGTTCACCTGAGGAAAAACTCTGTCTCATATAAAGGTGGTAGTGTCATGAGTCTATTCTTTTCCCCCAGCACAAGAGGGAAATCCATTCATTTCAAACAAAAGCAGAATGGACCTGTAACTACAGATCACGTAGTTTTAGGTATCAAGCACTTTCATGTTTCCATGTGGAGGTTTTGTACAATTTCCAAATACATTTTAGCCTGTGCTTGATGTACAAAAAAAATAAGGCCGCATGAAAAATATTTAATGAAAAATCAATATTTGTAAACGCCAGCAGTGCCAATAAAGCAAACTGGTACTTATCAAAGTATCCCAGTGTAAAAAGGACATTCTGTACAAAAGCCCTCTGAGGGACGTTGTTCTTGGTCACCATTATCTCAGCTGCAACAACAAAGATATGAAATTGAACATTTTGAACATCAAAAAGGCATTTTTCTTTGTACAGTAACATAACATCAAAGTTTGTAGCACTTTAATACCTCGATGCATTACTTACAGTTATATAGGCTATGGCACTGTCTGACTCCACGGCTCCATAGTTTGCTTGGCTGAATTCCAAATCATGCTAAAAAAACAACAACTTGCTATAGCAATCTGGCACGTAGGAAACATTTTATTTATCACTTTATTTTATTATTTATTGAAAAAAATAAAAGACTTTAAAGTGCAAACTCACCCACTTTCTAGTTGACAACAGAAACACGTGATTAGTATTTTTGACACCAGCTTTGATTGGAGGACTAACCCCATGTTAATGATTTCGAAAAGATGTGCAAACGTCCAAGTATGGCAGAAATCAGTGAAAGCAGTTTCACACATCTTCAAATTCTCAAATCCTTATCATTTCACCACAATCAGATTTCTGCCCGTATCTCGTTTTTGTAGTTTATAAAAGATGGATGGTCAGACGGAAATCACGCAACTTAATGGAATTAAATATGTGAGGGTAAACGATGAGTCAGCAACCAACTGTGTGGTTAAAACAACAACAAAAGGCTTGTTTCTAAAAGGTTTCTCAACAAGAAAATGGAAATATTTCACTCATTTTCATTGTGGTCTGATCAGTTTGTAAAACAAGGATTTTCTGATCCCAGCAACACTGTCACAGATTAACTGTGCCCACAGCAATACTGCGTAGACACCAGTCAGTATTCCCTTTTTATTAGTGCATAAATGACGATGAGAAATAAGGAGGATATTCAAAAGTAAGAAATGCAAAGCAACACGATTTCCAGGTGAGATAAAGGCAGAACTAAAAAGAAATTTGAAAAAGTTGCTTAAATGAAAGAAAGCACCAGTTAAAGTCAACCCCAGGGGAGCTCTAGCCTGCGTTTGGTCCCATTCGATCACACCCACCAGAGGGAACCGTGAATACCTTTTCCTCCCCGCAAGAGCAGCCATCCCAGGAAAACCAAAGGACAGAGTGGAAAGCAAAATCATCCCAGTCTACTCTACATCTGAGGCGTCGTTGTCAGAGGGGAGGTAGTTGCTGCCTTTTACCCGGATGTATTGGACATGACGATTGCTGTTGGGTGAAGGCTCTCCACAGGAGCAGAGCTGACCTGCGAACAGGTTCTCGATCTCTTCCAGCTGTAGGCCCTTTGTCTCTGGGAGGCAGCCCAGTACAAAGATGAGACCCAGCATGGCCAGGCCCGTGTACAAGAAGAACGCACCTGGAATACAGGGATTTTGGAAATTAGGCTCAAAACTATGAAGTTCTTGGCTGTAAATTAAACTTGATAAAGTTGTGTGAATTGTTCATTTAAATGGGAAAAAACACCTAATAAACAAATTCAATTCCTCTAAATAACCTTAAAATAACCTTAAAAAGCTATGCACACTGCTCAGAAAACTTAAACACAGCATCAAGTTAAGCTTGCAGGATATTGATGTGGTCAGTTAAGTAGCAGAGGGGGTTATTCATCAGTTTCAGCTTCTTTGGGCTTAATAAAATTAACATCAGGTGCACTAGAGGGGCAACAATGAGACTACCCCCAAAACAGGAATGGTTTTACAAGTAGAGACCACTGACATTTTCCCTCCTCATCTTTTCTGACTGTTTTTTCACTTGTTTTGCATTTGGCCAGGGTCAGCATCACTACTGGCAGCATGAGATCATATCTGGACTCTATTGAGGTTGCAAGAGGTAGTCTAGCTCCTCTAGGATGGCAAATCAATACGTGCTAATGCGGAAGGTTTGCTGTGTCTCACAGCAGTCTCGAGAGCACAGAGGAGATTCCAGGAGTCAGGCAGTTACTCTAAAAGAGCTGGACAAGGCTGAGAAGGTCCTTCAGTAGGACCCATCAGCAGGACCACTATTTGTTCCTGGCAGGATGGAAACTGCCAGAGCTA